TTAAGGTGTGATGCTGTGGTGTTGTACAGGGTAATGATAAATGGGGTGTATGGATTCCCTGAGTCAGTGAACTGTGATGTTGCTGCTTTTATCTTATCATGCTGCGACTCCATTTTGAATGTAGAAGCTGCATGCCAACCATTTATTGGTTCTTTTTGTGAGGCTTAAAATTGTTAACTGATTTGGGCACAGGGACTAACAGAACGTTATGAGCTGATTAGAGGGAGTTGTGTGTTGCAGCTGTGCTGCTCGTGGGGCTCGCTGCTGCAGGTGGGGGAGAGGGAAAGGTCTACTTCTCTTCCCTCCTTGTCCCACCCACTGATTCCACCCTCCTGGTGTGTCTTGTGCTGTCCACCACCCCTGCGACTTAGCAGTTTATTGCCAGAGAGACGGAACTTGCTGTGTACTGTCTTGTGAGGCTGGCGCTTTGCCAAACCTCTGTTGAACTTACTTGCTGAAGGGCAAGTGGGAAAGGCAGGACAATGGCCTGGATTGCGGAGAGCCAGACAGACTCTGCATGTGAGGGGAGGAGGACATTCCCCCTTTCATCCCTCTCTGGTGAGCTGTTAGGTCAGGTTAAGATGTAACCTGACCATAAACTTGGGTAATACATAATGTAAACTTCAGAATAAATACTTTTGTGTAACAGCAGCTTTATTCTGTCCAGGGAAGTTCAGTTATTGTAAATAACGGATTAATTTGTGCAAAGAACAAGTTTATGGTCAAGGCTGGAGACTGGAGGGAATAAATTAACAGGCTGTGGTTATTCTTCCCAGGTTGGTCAGCAGGCCTTTAAAAAGTTTTTGTTAACAAGCAAGTGCTGTAACTGCTGCATGAGGCAAGGAAACATTTCTGAATGCAAGTCCCAGTAATTCTTACGAAGGAATAATTTGAAGTGAAAGACGCTGAATGTGGGATATCTTTCTCTGGATGATTATAAATAAAGAACAGTGATGACTGAGAAACTGTGCAAAACTTTCCTGGGTTTTTGTTTGTTTGTTTTCAGACCATAAAAGCTGAAGGTGGAGCAGAGTCTCCCTGCTTGTTGCGTATTTTTGGTTGTTGTGTTTTGTTTTGTTTTGTTTTTTAATAAGACTTGCCACAACAATGTTTTAGGGATGATAAATACCAATAGTATTTTGTGGGTGTGGTAAAACATAATACTATATGACATGATTAATATTACGTAATCTTAGAAATTTATGTCTGTAAGAAACAGCTGCAAAAATACTTGTTATTTTAATGAGAATGTTTTTATCCATTTTTTTTTACAGTTGTTTCACTTGTACTAAAATTAATTCTACTGATGTATTTATATTGTAGGATATAATAGTGTGTTTGTTTGGCATGTCCAATTTTTATGGCTCGTTTAGCAAAATATGAATATCCTGCTGATGACAGAATTTAATACAACAGTCTAACAGAAAGATTATTCAAGAGCCCATTATATGAGAATTTGAACTATGCAGTAGATGTTAGGTTTCATATTTAAAATTGCCTTTGCAATTTCTGAGGCCCGCTTTTAGAAACACTTATTAGAGTCCAGTGTAACTGTGTTTCTACCAAGGCTTACTGCTCAAGAGGCAGTTTAAGGACTCTTTACAATCAGGAATAAAATTTCAAAAGTCAGCTTCTGAACGACTCTGTTCCTGGTTATTATGATTGCATAGACCTGGCACAGTGGGGCAGTAAACCTTTATCTGACATTACTAGTTCTGACATAAGGCAAATATGTTGTAGCTGGATCTTTACCTGATGAATGCCACAAAAAAACCCATCTGTCGTTAATGTAGTAAGGAAGTTCTTTGTCATCTAGCAAAGCCTTTGTTAGATGGAAAAGGCTCTGCTTCTTGCTTAGAGACAGACTCCGTGCCCTGTGATAGAAAGAACTGATAGATCAAGGTAAGTGTGAGTTTCATGTTTGGATGAAGGTGGCTGAAACTCATCTCCAGTTGCAGGATGGTTTCTTAAGAGGTTGGATGTTTTTCTTCAGCTGTCTTTTGAGTGCTATTTCTTGAAAAGTAGGTTCATAACTGGGTACAATTAGGAATCTGGCATGTGTTGCTTTGTTGTATTAAAAATTAGTAGATGGATAGCATTTCCTCATCCTCACTGCCTTTACAAGTAATAACTGAGAAAACATTTTTTTGTCCAGGGACGTTGAAGTTATTTTTTTGTGTTTTAAAAAGAAATCCTGCATTCTGAAATCTTAGTGAATTTTAGCATACTGTGGTTTCGTTAGCAGTTGTCAGTGTTCCTTAGACTCGTTGTTAGGTCTAGTGAAGTTTGATACGTCCATTACAAAGATTTCTGTGTTTTTAATGCAGTCATGTAGCTGCACTACACCATGCCTCACTGCATTCATGATCTCCGATTGCAAAGGGAGTTGAAGTATATCGTGTATCTAGCATGAGCAGGAGACTGTTGCCTATATTTGTGTTGCATTTCTCTGATTTTTTTTTTTATAAACAGACATTATTTACTTGATTTTTAACTGTATGTGCATTTGCAGGGTCATTTTCTAACTCTTAGCAGTCCCTGTACATGGAGCCATACTGTATGGCCATGCAAGTAATTGTGCCAGCGATTTACAACACAGCCAGGCCTGCCTAACTGCTCTGTGCTGTCCAGCTTTGCTGGAGTCAACACCAGCACTTCTCTGGCTTCGTGGCAAGTTGGCTGAAGGAATTAAATTGGCAGAAATTCTAGAGGTGGAGGGAGGAGTGTTGGTGGAGCTAGTCTGTATTACTTCTCAGCCATATCAGCAGTCTGATCTAGGTGACTGCCCTCTCATACGGCTATGAAAGCTTGCCAGCGTCACTAAGAATAGGGAAAAAAACAGGTCTTTGGCCTTTACAGAGAGGCAAATGCAATTTTTCCTCACAGCTTAGAGTTTAACTAGCTCTTTCATCCTCTTTTCGTCCTTTCC